TAACCTCATCCCGACCCCTTGACCTGTCCGTCCTCCCTGGACTGACCTATCTCCTCCCTACCTCCCCACCTACACTCACCTCTACTGGCTTCACCCCCGCCTCTTTGACCTGTCTGTCTCCTCTCCACCTATCTTCTCCTCTATCCGTCTCCCCCTCTCTCCCTACTTATTTCAGAACCCCCTTCCTCTCCCCCATTTCTGAAGAAGGGTCTAGGCCCGAAACGTCAGCCTTCTTGCTCCTCTGATGCTGCTTGGCCTGCTGTGTTCATCCAGCTCTACACCTTGTTATCTCTGACTCCTTGCATGATTCTGCTACAAATCCCACCATAGCCCACATCGTTCAGGCCCCAGTTAGGTTCTGCCCATTGTATTTTTCCCAAAGATATAAATCTATGCACGACATAGGTACTTCACAGAAGAAAATTTGTGCTTCTGTCCACAGATGCTGCCAGACCTGCTGAGTTTGTCCAGCAATTTGTTTAATTTTATTTCTGTATGTTCAACTGTAGTTGAATAACTATACAAGTTCCCCTCCCAGCCACACACCATCCTAACTTGGAAATATATTGCCATTCCTTCTCTGCTGCTGGATCAAAATCCTAACATTCCCGTCCTAACAGCACTGTGGATGTATCCTACACTAGACAGACTGCAGCAGTTCAAGGCAGGGGGCTCATTCCAATCTTCTCATTGCCAGTTAGGTTGACATTTTATTAAAAAATACAAAGGAAACTGGTGACCTTGATGCAGATTTGTACAGTCCTATTTTCAGTAAAAATGAGCCAGTGAAACAGTTACAAGGACAGTTAAAGCCACAAACACTAACCAAAGACTTACTGAGCTGACCGGGTAGCTGATCTATCTAAATCAATATACTAAACCTTGGCTCATGCAGAGTTTTATGACCTCAACTAGGACAGAAAAGGACATAGCAATTGACTTTGGTACTCTCAGTTTCTCCTTCTGGAAGGCAACAAGTGGACATCTGGAGACCTTGCACTTGGATTGTTTGTCCTGATTATTATGCTATACTGAACCTCACTGTCTGGGCTCCCACATGAAACATAATCAGTTGGGCAAGGTACCTGCAAGCCCAAATGCTGTCATGAATCTCAAGAGAAAAGAAAAAGTCAAGGAGAAAGCTAACAGAGGGACAAAAAGGACACTACTTGAATTTAACAGTATGGTGATATTCTCACCTAGCAGCTTGCTGGTTGAGACGTTCCTTCTCTTCAGCCACCTCAGCATACAATCTCCTTCGCTGTTGTTGGATAGCTTGCTCCTCTTGTTCAAGCTGTTTTTCGTATCTATTGGAACACAGTAACAAACACTTTGGTGATTTAACATAAGTAAGCAACAATCATATTCTTTAATATGCTGAACGTATCTTTAGTGAGGGAAATGAGAAAATGCCCTAAACAATAAAAGTAAAGGTATACAAAAACAGAAGTTGCTGGAAAAGCTCAGCAAGTCTGGCAGCATCTGTGAAGAGAAATCAGAGTTAACGTTTTGGGTCCAGTGACCCTTCCTCAGAACGTAAAGATACAGTCTTACCAGACCACAGGGCTGTTCACTCATTAGAGAGAGATGTCTGGTTGTGGTTTAACCAGAGGGTCACTACGCCTCAGGTAAGGGGAGAGTTTGAGTAGGAAATCCTTCTTGGTGATCTCAGCCAGTGCAGGAATTGATCCTATGCTGCTGGCGTCACTTTGCATCACAAACAAGCTGTCCAGCCAAACAAGTTAACCGACCCCCACATAAACAATATCATGTAAATTAACTGTATAGTTTGAAACAATTAAATAAGTACTGAAATTCATCTGAGCACAATCGCTTAATTTGATCATTTTAACTACTTGCATCAACTTGAATCAATTGCTAAAGATTATGTCAGCAAAACTGAGGAAAAAGAAACAAAAATTACAAAAATGAAGTCTTATAATGCTGACTAACGATTTTCTAAACACTTAATTTATAAGAACCTTTCCAGAAACTTGTTAATTTATGCAGGTTTGTTCTGATAATGATACACACTTCAAATTAAAATGGCATCTTATTCGTTCCTCAGAATGTAACCAAAGGGCAATACATTATAAATATAACCTCAGTAAAGATTGCTCACAAATCAGCTATAAACAGGTTTTATGCATAATTTGTCTGAGATAAACCACAAGCCCTTGTCTGAACTAACAAGGTGTAGAGCTGGATGAACACAGCAGGCCAAGCAGCATCAGAGGAGCAGGAAGGCTGATGTTTTGGGCCTAGACCCTTCTTCAGTTCTGAGGAAGGATCACCAGACCCGAAACGTTAACTCTGTTTTCTCCTCCACAGACGCTGCCAGACCTGCTGAGCTTTTCCTGTAACTTTGTTTTTGTTCCTAATTTACAGCATCCGCAGTTCTTTTGGTTTTTATTTTTTATGGAGCATTGTCTTTTATTCTTGGACTTTGAGATGAACAGATGGGTGTTATAGGCCTCATAAGGCAGGCATTATTTGAACTATTTTTATTCATCCAAACCTTTGTCTGGCAAGATCCCGCTCCCTCTGGCACAGATCTTCCTTCTCCCTCTCCAGCTGTTCCCTCAGTTCTTCAGTCTGTCTGATATATCTCTGAGCTGCACGCTCATCAGATTGCAGAAGTTCAGCCTCATGCAATGCTTTCAGTTTCTTGAGTTCTTGTTTATGTTTAGCTATTAGCTTTTGAATCTCTGGCTCCAAACCTGGAATTCAAGCAATTGAGTTATCCAGATTTACGATAAGACCACTTCACTGAGACATGTGACAGTAGGAAATGCTATTACAGTACTTTCAACAATTTGCTACAAGGTCTCCAGCATAGGAAACTTTTCCAAGGCACTTTACAGAGACGTGAACATACATAATGGCAAAGAATGGAACATTGGGTGGTTCAGAAAAAATGTGACCAAAAACTTTGTCAAAGTGGAAAATTTTAAAGAGTAAAGTAAAACAAAGTACTGAAGAACTAAAACAAAAAAAAGGAATAGCTGGAGAAACTCAGCAGGTCTGGCAGTATCTGTGGACAGAAAGCAGATCTAACATTTCAAGTCCAGTGATCTGTTCAGAGTTCTGCCAGACTTACTGAGTTTCTCAAGTAATTCCTGTTTTTGTTTAAGTACTAAGAACGCTTTTAAAAGAAGGCAGTGGATGAGTGAAAAGGTTTATAGAATGAGTTCCACATGAGCTTGGATGCCTAAAAGCATGGGTGCCAATGAAGGGGCAAAAGAATTGGGTGGAACACACAAGAGGTCAAAGTCAGAGAAATGGTGAATTCCAAGATAGAGGAGATTTATCGGACTGGAAGGGGGTTACACAGATAAGGAGTGACAGGGAAGTCAGGACCAGAGGAGAGTGGGGGGTCACTGGCAGCCCGAGAAGGTCACTGAAGTTAGGGGTTACGAAAGGCAAGGTTTTATGGGAACAGACATTTATGGTGAGCAGAGAACAGGAGGCTGTCCACGAAATCACTGGGATAGTCAAAGGTTAGAGGTAATACAAGGGATCTTCTAGCAGGTAGAATGAGTAAGAGTGGAGATGGACAATGTTATGGGCATGGAACTCTTCTACCTTTATGATGTTCTGGATCTTGGGGTGGAAGTCTGATACAGGTCAGGGTCAAGTAAGATGCCAAGGTTACAAACAGACTATTCTATATTACTCCAAAAAGGGGGAGGAATCGATCATTCAAGGAGAAAGCAACAGCCAACAAATGGTATATTGGTTCATATGTTGTTTACTGGTTTGCAAGTTTAGCATGTGCATTAAAGGTTCATCAGATAAATAAGTCTCAGATTTTGCCATTAGGTATATCTGTGCTTTACAATGTTATTGTCTGAAGAAAACCTGTGGAGAAGGAGTGAGATAACAATACAATTGTGTGGCATTTTTGAGAAATGAGCATTTCAATGTACACCGCACTAGGCAGTGTGAAGCTGCTGTACCCATTTATATCCTCAATTACGTTTAAACACAATGTACAATTAGCACTGAAATGTGTAGACCACCTCACTTAAATTCTAAGCATAGTATAGCAAGATCACAACAGATTTTGTTAGTTTGATTTGATCAGGCAAGAGGTCAGCACCTATGAGGACTTTGCAAAATCTCACAGCACAGGAAAATCCTGTACTGACTCTTTTTGCCATCCTTTCTCCATTGAAAATGTTTCCTTATCAAGCATATGTCTCATTCACTTTTAAAAATTGAATCTCCTCCATCACCCTTTCACAAAATGTTAAAAAAAATTCATTCTCTCTGCCTCTTTTATCAGTTATCTTAAATTTATGTCCCCTGAGCCTCTTCCTAGCAGAAACAGTTTCTTTGCACAAAAAGTTCATAATCTTTAACTCTTCTATTGAAGCTGCTATTAAACTACTGCTTGAAGAACAATCCCAGTCTCAGTGGTACTATTCGAGGAAACCTAGACATGCCACTACAAAGCACACCGTATACTTTTGCTTCAAGCAACAATTAAGCAAGGTATACTTAGTAAAATTAACAGCTTCCTTTTCTGGGTGAAGCACTTCCTTGCTATTTGTAATGTCATCAGCCAAATCTGCAACAAGACCAAAGTGCCTACTTACACTCTTACTAAGTGATTCTGCTTTTCTGGCTCCTTCAGTGAATCAACTTGCAACAATACTGTGAGAATTTCACCATGCCAAACCCACCTAGATTTCGGCAACGCAAGCCGTGATTAGATCCAACTGCAGCAATGTTCCACAGAGTTGTTATGCCTACAACAAATAAAGTGCTCCTTTCTCATTACTGTATCATTTAGATTAAGCTCTCCAACTCTCACTATCACTCAATTCTTGAAAATTTGATGATTAGAATTGCAGCTGTTCAAGATGTTTAACTCTTCTATTAAAGCTACTATTTACCAACTGCTTGAAGAACAATCCCAATCTCAATGGTATTATTCTAGGAAACGTACTCATGCCACTATAAAGCACAAGTGTTTCAGCTTTCCACCATCCACGTATTTTTCTTTTGTAAACAAATAATGGGGCAGGTGATCAGAGGCAATTTAAGGGAAGGAGATAGCAGGTGTGTCAATTGTGTCATGTACTTCTTGATAATTTGTTCTTTACAATCTTCTCAACATCTATAAGCAAGTTATAAGTTAGTTAATCTGATGATAAATCTCTTATAATAAAGATGTCCTATTGTAAATTTGAAAACATGAACAGTATCTGTATGATAAATTTGGAAATTCTTTTTAGTTCATTTAAATGGCTATTCTGTTGCAAAATATTTGAGTACAACATTTCACCATTAGTGGTTATCCACAAAAATATGCAACTATTAATGGTCAGGTATTCTGTTTAGAATATTGATTATAAGTCCCAGGTTTGTAAACTGGTACCTTTTACAGTAATCTCTTTAATTTTCTTTGTTTTCTCATCTATCCATTTCTCTCTGCGTATTTTTTCTGTGGCACTCATTATTTCTTTTAACTTCTTGATTTCCTATAGACAGAAATAATTAGACAGGATGTTATAAGAAAACCTGCAGTACAATGATTCTTTACCGTACTTTGAATGCTGAAAAAATTCAGATAGGAATAAAAGGACACTGTAATATATATTTTTAAAAATGTATTCAGGTTGTACCCTGTCCTCTGGCAGCCTCAGGATCAGACTTTTGTCAGACTGTAGGAGGTCATATGTCAGGATTAGCATGGGAGTTTTTAAATACATTTAAAAAGTACCGTGCAACATGCAGTTTGCAATCATTCTGCATCTTAATATTAGATTCAATTAAATTTTCTTGTTGCAAATCGTATTTTGAAACAATTAATGTTCCTTAATATAGAATCTGAAAAAGAATACAACTGTATTAAAACTAATGGCACCAGAGGCATTTGTTACTGTGTGAGCTTGAAGCATTTAATTTTTTTAATACCTCCCTCACCCAGATGTGGGAAACAAAATATATCCTTTTACCGAAGGGTCCAACAAGTACTATTTGAATTATTCAAAACAGAAAATAAATGAGAGTGCAGAATGGACGTGTGCACACCATGACCTTGTGATCTTAACAGTTACTTTACATGGAGCAATTGTTCTGCTGCTTGTAGATGACAATGATGAATTGGAAACTGACAGAAGAAAAGTTACTGAACCAGTTTAAATTGCTGCAGCAAGAAAACCGTTTTGGGGAGAAGAGCAGAGAGGTTGGGTTTTCCAGAAACCAGAACTGGAATCATACTGTGGATATCAGACCACACAGGTTGCTGGATCAAAGAGTGCTGGATTAAGGAGGTACAATCTGCATGTACAAAGACAGACCTGTAGTCACAGATGGCACAATGCCTCAATGGGTTAGCACTGCTGCCTCACAGTGCCAGGAACTTGGGTTCAATTCCAGCCTTGGGCAACTGTCTGTGTGGAGGCTGCACATTCTCCTTGTGTCTGTGTAGGTTTCCTCCAGGTGCTCCCACAGTCCAAAGATGTGCAGGCTATGCTAAATTGCTCACAGTGTGCAGGGATGTGCAGTCTAGGTGGATTAACGATGGGAAATACAGGATTACAGGGGCGGGGTAGCGGGGTGAGTCTGGGTGGGATGCTCTTCAGAGAGTCGGTCTGGAATTGTTGGGCTGAATGGCCTGTTTCCACACTCTAGGGATTCAATGGACACAGAATAAAAGCTGCAGCACTTCTCACTTCCGGCAGTTCCAGGAGAAAAAAAAACAGCCAGTTTGCAAACAAACAATGAATTAAATAATCTCTTTAGACTATTTCAGTTGAGGTATAAATATTAACCACTATTTTGTATATGCATTCCTGCAAGCCCAAAAGACGGTCTGGTGCATATTTGGGTAGCCATCTTTCTGTCTTAGTCATGTTGGGGCAATTTTTTTTTAATTCATTCACAGGGTGAGGGCATCGCTGGTCAGGCCAGCATTTTTTGCCCATTCCTAATTACCCAAAGAATAGTTAAGAGTCAAGCACATTGCTGCGGGTCTGGAGTCACACGAAGACCAGACCAGGTAAGGATGGCAGTTTCCTTCCCTAAAGGACATTGGTGAACCAGATGGGTTTTTTCAACAATTGACGATGTGTTTTGACAATTGACAACTGACATGGTCATCACTGACTCTTAATTCCAGATTTTTATTGAACTCAAATTCCACCATCTACCATGGTGGGATTTGAACCCGGATCCCTGGAACATTACCTGGGTCTCTGGATTAACATTCCAGTGATAATACCGCAAGGCCATCACCTCCCCATGACCTGACGGATACTTTAAAATTGTAAAGAGGCTCAATAGGATGAAACTACAGAAGATGTTTCAACTTCTGGGGGAGTCCAAAGTTAGAGGTTATGCATTTAAGGTAGCCCCTAATAAATTCACTTACACATTTAATGAGAAACTTGTATAAAGAGACAGCAGCGAGGATGTAGACCTCGCTACCACTTAGAGTAGTTGAAGTGAATATCACAGAATAGAGAAATGTAGGCAAATGCATGAGGGAAAAAGGAATAGAAAGAAAGAGTAAGATGGGAAGAGGTTGTGGAGTATCAGCACTAGAATAGACAATTAGGCAAATTGTCCTTTTTCTCTGCTGTATATTCTGCGCAGTTATATGGATGTGCAGTCTGAATCTCTCACCAGTTCATGCTGCTCATGCATCTGTTGGATTTTCTTAGTGTATTTCTGGTCCACCTGCTTCAATTCATTTACCATAGACTCGCACTTTGCATTTAACCCCTTCTTGTCATCTATCAGCTGTCAGGAACAGATAATAAAAAAAACTCAAAAATAATTCTATCAACACATCAAAACATTGAGCATAGTACATTTAAATTCAGCCCTCACCACAACCCAATATGAAGTCCAAAAGTCTGTAGAATACTAAGCATTTCAACAGTCATAACATAATTTTATCAGAGGATTAAAGTAAATATTTACATTTTGAAAGAATAATTGAGCTGAAAATTAAGCTCAGGATGAATAAACTAAAAAAAGTCTAATACAATACAAATGAAGAATAAAAGTTATTAATTGTCAAGTTCTAATTTCATCTGAATTTTCTCTGCCAATTTTTTTCCCTTTGCCTTCCTGATAACACACATCCACAGCATCAGTCATTTAGCTAATAGTATCTGTGCATGGACTCTGGTTGATCAATCAAATAAGGTGTCAGTCTTAAGGTACACCAGCTCATGCCTGCCTCTGAGTCAGAAGGTTATAGGCTCAAGTTCCACTCCAAAGACTTGAACACAATCTAAGTTCCCAATTCAGTATAACACTGAGGTAGAGCGTGCTGCAATACTGGAAGTGCTAATAATTGGATAAGACATTAAACCAAGGCACTATCTGTTATCTTTGACATACATAAAAGGTCCCAGTAGCGCTATTCAAGGAAAAACATGCAAGTTTTCTTCCCAGCATCCTGACAGATATCTATCCCTCAACCAACATCGCTATATAGCCACTGAAAAGTGGTTAAGACTTGTGCCAATTGACTCAAGGATGGAGGTATCATAGCCAAATCTAATCCTTTCTTGACACAATATCTATATATTAACACTTTTAGCAAGAGTAACTGGATTATAATTGGAGGTGGGATTCTCGCTAATTTTGTCCACCTTCACCAAGAATACGAAGGCCAATTATAGTGACTCTATAGCCTTCATTCCCTACCTTCATTCCCTAAATAATGAATTTACACCTGACTGGAAACTAGTGAGAACATTTTAAATTATGATTAAACAGCTGAACCACTTCAGGGAGTGATTCTTTTTCAGTACCTATTTTGAATTTAACAGAGAGATAATGTATATGAAGATATTATTTGGGTTTGGGAAAAGAACCCGGTGGAAAGTTAACTTAGTCCATTTGTCACTTTTGCCTGTGGAATCTGAACCCATCCAAATTGATTAAATAAAGGTTTCCTTACTCTGCTGCTGTTTACAAAGATATAAATGATCTTATATTCTTCTGTAGGATATGTGCATCGCTTGTGTTGTGGGCAGCGTTTATTGCCCATCAATAGTTGCCCCAAAGAAGGCGATAAGCGACTTTCTTGGGCAAATGCAGTCTATGTCGTGTAGGTACATCCACAATGCTGTTATGAAGGGAATTCTAGGATTCTGTTCCAGTGACAGTGAAAGAGCCGTGTTGCTTGGACTGGAGCTTGAAGGCAGTGATATTCCCATACAGTTCCTGCTCTTGTCCTTCTAAATGGCACAATTCATGGGTTTGGAAGGATTCCAGCTGAAACTTTGTTGAACCTTTAATCTATCAACAAAGTTTTATTGTTCGATACCTTCCTAATTCAAACTAAACCCCCAGCCCTTCACACAGGGAGTGGTGCGCATGTATGTGGGACAGTCTGCCAGATGGGGTGGTGAAGGAGGGTGCGGTCACAACATTTGGGAGATGTTTAGACGGGTGCGTGGATGGAGGGAGGGTTTGGAGGGGAGTGGGCCAGGTGTAGGCAAATGGGACTGGTTCGGTTTGAGAAATCTGGGTGGCGTGGATGGGTTGGGCCAAGGGGACTGTTTCCGTGCTGTGTGATATTATGACTCCATTTGAAAGACATTTGAACAGGTACATGGATGTGAAAGGTTTAGAGGAACATGGGTCAAATGGAGGCAAATGGGATTAGTTCAGTTTGGGAAACCTGGTTGGCTTGGACGAATTGAGCCGAAGGCCTGTTTCCGTGCTGGGTATCTCTCTTTGACTCTAAAAAGACCAATAAGAAAATAAGTGAATAAAGCATGCTCGAAGACTAATCTGTTGAAATTTCTTTGACCAATCATTTCTAAAATTCTTATCTTAATTTCTTTCTACACATTTCTGATAGCATATCAATACCAGCAACAGCCACAGAATTTTTGCTTTGCTATATTTACAATACACAGAAGTATTTTAAAATTTCATTGTAATTCATTTGAAAAGTATATGCTTGTTTTCACTTTTATTCATTTCTGTTAGCCACTTAAAGGCCCGAAAACCTCTTTTCCAAAAACCAGGAGAGATAATAACAAATTGATTAAACCAATGGTTACCATTGTTTATTTAATTTAATAATTCAATTCAAGTACTAAGGTCCAAAGCACATTACAAGGAAAGTACCATCAATACTGTATTGCATAAACCAAGATAAATAATGAATAAGTCAAAAAAAAATAGAATAGAATCCCTAAAGTGAAGAAAGAGGCTATTCAACCCACTGAGTCTGTACCGATCCTCCAAGGACCATCCCACTCACACCCACAACCCATCCTTGAAACCGTGTGGGGTTTTTACCATGGCTAACCACCTAACCTGCACACTACAGGGCAATTTTTTTAGCATGGCCAATCCACTTAACCTGCACATCTTTGGACTGTGAGAGGAAACCAGAGCACCTGAAGGAAACCCAAACAGACATGGGGACAACGTGCAAAGTCTACACAGACAGTGACCTGAGACTGGAATCGAACCTGGATCCCTGATGCTGTGAGGCAACAGTGCTAACCACTGAGCTATGCTGCTCCTAATACATACATCAAATTTTTGGGTACATGATTCTAAGGCATCTGTTGCTGTCGACTAGGCTAAGAAACTCATGCAACATGGAAACCTCTGGACTGCAGTCTAACAAGAAAGAATACAATGCAATATCACACACGGTCCCTCAAGCCTGATCTACCATTCAACTTCAATTCCACCTTTTCATCCAATCCAATCCCTCAATTTCCTTAGTATCCAAAAATCTACCATTTCAATGTCAACATACCATTTATCTTCCTAATTGCTAGCTATATCTGCATATTAGCTTTATATATTTCTTGTACTTCTTTTTATCTTCTCACGCCTAGCGGTGTGGCAAAATATGTTCTTAAGTCTATTTCCATTGATAGTTTTTCTTTGAACATGTTACCAGCCTGCTGCAGAGATTGGAGCTTCAGGGGTATCATTCCACATCACACACAGATGACCCGAAGACTCTCTCAACCCGCCTTTAACCTTCTGGCCATTAAATGAACATATCTTCCTACGCCATCAATGCCTGAGCTGCTATTTGAACCCAGAATTCTGGGCCAGATGCAGTGACATTACCACTGTGTCACAAGACCTCCCATATTTGTTGTTCAAGGCAGCCAAATCTCTACAAAGACAAACATAATAGTTCCTTACCATTTAAAAATATTCTGTTCTTTCAATTTATCCTTTCAAACAAATAACTTCACATTTCCTTATGTCAGACACTATCTGTCAGCCCGTTGCTAAATCAGCTAGTGTCTAAATCCTTTCCAGCCTCTTGATATTCTCACATTACCTTCTCACTTAATTTTGTAGCACCGGCAAATTTGGAGACACGACACTCCACCTCTTTTTCTAAATCATTAAAATACATTTATAAATAGCTGAAGCGATCTGCATTGCGCCCAAGTAACAGACTGCCAATCTGAAAATGATGAATTGTTTGCTAGTCTGTTTTATGTCCTTCATTACATCCTCTATTCATGTTAATAATTTCATCCCAATTCAATGAGCCCTTCTATTATGTAATATCCTGCAGTGTGGCACCTTATCCTTTTTAAAATATATTTAAAGCACTCAAAATAAAGTTCTAATTTTAATTTTGAAAGAAAATTCATCAAAAAAAGTATTTTTCTATATATTTTCCACTGCCAATCCATCAGAACTGTTTAATTTCTCACATATTTGGGAAAAGTTGAGAACTATAAACTGCAGCTTGAAATGACAATTGACATTTTGTGAACTTCCTTCCAGTAAGCAAAATTCATTGGACTTTCAAACTTATCCTCTTTCAATCACAACTTAGATATTTCCATAAGAAACTTACATCCATTTTAATCTAATTGAGAAAAGTACAACAAATTTTATAGAATGGTGATTTGGTCATAACTGGATCACTTGAATCACCACAACCTTCCTAAAGAGTTTACAGAAACAATTTATGAGAATGTTACAGGAGTAGGCAACTTTAGTTAGGTGGATAGATTGCAGAAGTTGGGGTTTTCTCCTTGGCGAAGGAAGATTGAGAGGAGAGTTGGTGGAAGTGTTTAAAATAATGATGAACAGAGATACAGCAGATGGAGATAATTGATGCTTTGGTGAAAGAGTCAAGAACCAGGGACGTGGATTTAAAATGACTGATAAAACAACTAAAAGAAACATGAGCAGAATCATTTTTATAGCCAGAGATTAGGATCTCAAATACACTGTCTGAGAGGATGGTGGAGGCAAATTCAATCACGGGTTTCAAGCCGGAACTGGTTATCTTGCTCTTGCAGAGATATGGCACCAATTCAACACGATGAACGATCCCGTCTGTGCTGTAATCATTCTAAGACTATATTACTTCTCATTTTAATCACTGGAGGCAATACTGATAAGCAACTGCGTATGAATTTAAGAACCAATGAAGATTTAATCAATGGGTTGGTTTGTCCAGGGGAATTATGACGTGCGTTAGCATAAAAATCTTTATTGTCCTTGGACAGACCGTCTTCAAGTTTTGCTATTTGCATAACTATGTACATGACCTCACTCCATACACTTTCTGGCATCCAGTCATTGGGGTGAGGGAAAATTAAAACTGGCAGAGGGAGTAAGGTGAGACAACAAGGTGCAGGGCTGGATGAACACAGCAGGCCAAGCAGCATCATAGGAGCAGAGAGGCTGACGTTTCGGGCCTAGACCCTTCATCAGAAAGAGTAAGGTGCTGCCCAACTACCATTAGCCATTCCCAATCTAACCACACTATA